TTCAATATTGTAAAAAAAAACTAATTTTGGATTAAGAATGAAAAGTGGGACAAGCGGAGAAAATTCAGAGTGAGAATAGTAATAATAATAATAATAATCGTAGTAATAAGGGAAAGGTACATAGAATAACTAAATAACAAATAAATAAATAAATGTCTCTCCCTCTACGGCCAAAGCAGAAGTAGAGATTGTCCATACTTCTTTTGTACACATAGGCCTGACTTAAAGTCATGAATGGCCAAGGCCTCCGCTGTCTTTAGAAGTCTACAACGAAGAAAACGCGGGAAGTTAGCATGGATTCAGTAGATGATCTTAAAATCATGGTCAGGGTTGGCAAAGTGACGGGAGTCGATCAGGTGTTCTAGAATAGAGCTTCTCACACACTTCCTTTCTCCCTAGTAAAACCATGCTGGAATATGTTTTCGTATCCGTGTGGAAAGCGTCCTCTGGCTACGGCCAATGTACCTTGATCCACAAAAGCAGGTGAACTGACAGATGCACATGGAGTGGCCAGACGCGGGGTTTATGGGCTGGTGAACGTCATTTGTAATTTTGCTGCAAAGAACGTCTTACTGACTGCTTTAGAGAGACGGTTTTTGAGCATATCTGAAGCTTGATCACCTTTGAATTACTAGTTCGTGGATAAGGTTTTCTTTGGAACTGAATCGGGGACCAGTTTAGACTGCTTATCTTTCATGTTACTGTCAATAAATCGGTTAGGGTAATCGTTTTCTGCGAGAGTGGCTTTTAAGAAGTCAAGTTCTGAGTCAACGCAGTCAGAACTATAAATTTTCCTTATCCTAAAGCAGAGCGAATGAATTAGGTTCCTTTTCCTGGAAATAGGCACCCAACTATAAAAATTATTTAGTTCTCCGTTCCATGTACGTTTCCGGTGGATGGATCTTTTGAGAGAGCCGTCAATGCGTCTGCTAAGGCACACATCAAGAAAAGGAAGGCTTAGTTTGGATTCCTTTTCTGTGGTGAATTGCAAAGAAGGATGGCAGTTGTTAAATGCAAACAAGGCATCATCAAGAATTACGTTATCATCGCAGATAACGAAAGTTTCGTCTGTGTATCTTCTATAAATGTCGAAATGACCGATAGTTTGACTAAGTTGAGAGTTCTCAAGCTTTGCCATAAAACAATCAGCCAGCAAAAGACCCAGTAGTGATCCCATCACAATGCCATCTCTCTGTCTAAAAAGTCTCATTATTGAAGGTGAACTGAACATTCAACGTGCATTTCAATAAAATTTCTTTGGGGTGGATTTTCGGCAACCCTATTTCTAAACTATGTGTGTATCAATATAATCACATATAAAGCAAACACTTTGCGTGAGAGGTACATTGGTAAATAGAAATCACATCTAATGAGAACATGACTTTATCTGAGACAAAATCTTTAATACTCTAAATAAATTTAAATGTATCATCAATGGAAAACTTAGACACTTGCCTTTTAACTGGTTACAGTATTTCAGCTAGCGATTGAGCAATTCCGTGATAAGTAGAACCCACCATAGCGAGAATTGGACGGAGGGGTAATCCTGTCTCATGATTTTTCGGTAGCCCATACAAACGTGGTCGTGTTATGGCGCCTACTGGTCGGATGCGTTCATATATGTCTCACGAGATTACTGACTTATTCCTCATGTTTTTTAAAGCATCTGTCGGTTGATTTTCAATTAGATGTGTCTTGTTCTTTTCACCATTGGGTTTAGCGAGTTTCAATTGGTCAGAAAGGATCACTGAGATTTTATTATTATAATCTTGGTGGTTCATAACTACAACACCCCCCACCTTTGTCTGGACGGCATATGATAATATCATCATTCTTCTCTAGTTCTATAAGTTGGTTTATATGCTCTTTGGTCAGAAGATTATTTGAGCTAGGTTTTGAACTAGTAAACTGATGACAGCAATCAAGAACTGTAGATGTGAAGTGTTGGAATTGTTGAGGTGATATAGGTATGAGATCGTTGGTCTGGTTAATTAGATTTTCGAATTGCACTTGAGTGTGGAATCTGTTGACTTTGGACGCACTGTTACAGAAATTAGGGCCCAGTGATAGAGCTTGTAGTTGAGTTTCAGAAAGGGTGACGGAAGAGTAATTGAATACATATTTATTGGGATTAGTCGGAAATCTCTTTTCTGCTACTACCTGCTTGAGACTGTCAAGATGTTTGAGTTGTTTTTGGTCTATCTTCTTAATTAACAACTTGGATAGTATTGTCTTTCTCTTACCTTAATCCCTGCTACGCTTGTATAACACTTATGTTAGCTTAGTGTATTCTACCGTAGACTTAAATAATAATAACTCCATGTTTGGAAAATAGTTTACTAAGCAACGAATAATATCTAAGTAATGATTGTAATGCCTTTAACCAGTCTGAATTAGCTCCACAAGATTATAATTATTTTTACTGAGAAACAACTTAAAATACAAAGTTTGAGTTATTTGTTACACTAATGGCATACAGATGCATGAGTCTACTCCATGAACTATTATGGACAACTTAGTTAGATGAAGTCTATGATACAATTAGCTGAACAGTTTGTGAGTTTAAATTCTTCACTAGATAAACTAAGTTTCAATTTTGAATGAACATACTACATCTGTCATAAGTACTGGTACAACTAATTAAAGTATCTGCATGTAACTGATATGAACACTAGGGTATATATGTCCAAACCAAGTTCACTTTTAACAGTTTGAAAAAATTTGGGCATTGAGTATATGATATTCATTATAATAAAGGTTTTTGTATTTCCCAATGAATGAAAAACAAAACGATATTGTTTTTACTGACGTTTCAAGCATTTTATTTTATAGACACAATTAGATAGAGAATCTTTAGGGATTTCGTCTTTTATATGGACAAGGTTGTTTCGTAGTGTGTCTGATGTTTTGAAGAAAACTCTAATGTCGAGCTGATTGAGTACACATTCCGAAAACATGGACCTCAACAGTCGTCATTCCATATAGAGCAGAGACGTCAGATGATATCAGAAGAATACTCAACAAGCGCAACATCAAAGTTTTATTCAAAACACCAGACATACTACAAAGCAATCTTGTACACATAAAAGACCAAATCCCAAGGATTCTCAATCTAATTGTGTCTGTGAAATAAAATGCTTGGAATTTGATGCGATATACATTGGACATACATAGCAAGAAATCGAGACCAGAAGAAATGAACACCGTAGAGCATCTGTTCAACCACCGAGAAATCCAGTTGGACTAGAAAAGCTTGAAAAATCATCAGCCATAGGTCTACATACTATAGAATCAGGTCACAAACTTGATTTTGACAATATTGAAATAATCCAGAAAAATTTCAGAAATCACACAGAACGTCTAATATCAGAAGCACTTCATATCAAGTGGAATCCAAATTGCCTGAACAGGAGTGATGGACTAAAACAGAATCTGACCTGGTTACAACACCTCCCTCCCCCATGAAGTGACAAAATCAACACGAATTTGATAAGCAAGTTCACTATGTAAACACACACTGCCTTTATAATTTTAAACACTGATCAAATCCAACAATCTACACTTGGTTTTGTTATCTTTACCAACTGACCAACCTGACAACGAAAAATGACCCCAGACTAACGAACGATGATCAAGTTAGTAAACTTTGTTTTGATACCATAACATATGTACTATTACCTTCGTTATTTGATTTAGTGATCTTCATTGTTATTTTGATTTCCAATATGTCCTTTTAACTAGACTTAAGTCTATTTTCTCACCCCTTAACTCTTTGTTATATATATGCTGAGATTTTGTAAATTCCGGTTTAATGATACTTTGATAAAGCTATTAGCATTAAATAGCGAAACGTCAGTAAAAACAAAATTGTTTTGTTTGTCTTTCATTGGGAAATATTTTTTTTTTATTTTCATTTATTTTGATTACAGCTTGATGCCACACCGTATTTTCAGCACATGTATGGAATTTTCAGCATGGATATCGGTAGCCCAAATTTCGCAGGCCGACCATAGATATCAGGTGTGCGTCGGCAGAGGTTCGAACCCGGACCATGTGCATGGTCGGCGAGAGTCCTAACAAAATCCTTTATTATAATGAACACTAGGGGTTTTAAGAAACTATCCCAAAAGCAGAGAATGACAGTTCGCTTAAATATATACCTGACCGAAGTTTTGAATCCAATGATAAAGACCAAAGAACAACAAATCTGTGGCGTCTATCCAGGTAAGCTTAGTTTGTGGACATAAGAAGTGAGCGTTTTGCGATCCCAGTCAGAATAACATCGAGACACGTCGGGCCTTAAATATGACATTTTCTTTTTTAAATTTTATTTTGAAATCTAACAGAAACTGTTCTGTTTCTAAATCAATTTTGATTTTCCCGTTGACTGACTGGAACGAAATGCTCGGCCTATGTTGACATGTCGGCTCCGAGTGCTAACGCTTTAATGATGTCTGAGGAATAAATTGAAGTGATTTGTTGGATACTGACCATCACTGGAATCCCGGATGCTCATCGCGTGCTATTTGGGCTCATGTGGTCCATTAGGTAGGCTTTGGCTTTTGAAACGATGGGTACTGGTTTCGAGCTTTAATGGAAACACTACCACTCACCGGAGAATTTAGGCATGTCCAGTGACGAGTCCCTAATGGGACGAAATGCTCAACCTGGATTCCACTGATAGTCACCATCTAAAAAACTACAAATACTACCAAAATTCTTTCTGATTTGAGTGATGAATATTAACAAAAATCACAAGATTAGACAAAAGAAACAGACATATGCATGGCAATTTTATTCCATCAAATTAAACAATGGTCAACATTATAAATGACTATTGCATGTGTATGTGATGGTCAAATTGATTATACAGTTCAATTCAAGTTAATAATGATTCCCCCGCCGCCATATTTCTTTATTCCTTTGAAGTAAGACCAACGTCGATGCATTTTAAATGTCATTAATTGTAATCTGCCTATGTACTGACTGTATTCTGTGCCTCATAAATCACTATTTCGCACTGATTGACTTAAACGATTCACCTTACGTTGAATTTTTCTTCTCTCTTTGAATAGTTGCTTTGGATTACGATCCAAACAGGCTATGCATATATTTTCTTTCTTAATAACAGTTAACATACATGCTCGACAATATGCTGCATTATCTATTGGACACATAAGTATATCTGGATTCGGTTGGAATTGTTCATGACATATAAGACAGGTGACTTTTTCCATGCCAAGCAGATAAGCTAGTTGTGGACACAATCTAGCTAAAAATGTTGGTTTTGATAATCGTTCAACTTCTTCTTGTAAACGACCAAGTCGTACACGATGTATAATCTGATGACGTGATTTAGTCAGTTGATTATGACGTTGTGTTAATAGATAATTATATAAGGCTACGGCACGACGTCTTGTTTGTGCTGGATAGAAAAATTTAACAATTCTATGCCGAATACGCAATAAAGCAATTGATGCTATTGACAATACAATAAATATTATCCATAGTGAATAAAAGTAAACCATATACACTGGATCTGTTTCATACGCCTGTACTGTACAATGATCCATTTCATAATCTAAATTTATATTTGTTAAATATCCAATGTTTGTTAGCAATTTATTTACCATTTCTTTAAATAATCCGCTTCCAGTTACTCTGGCATAAGTACCTTCTGCATCTTCATAGCTTTTAATTTCATCCTGTATTTCGTTATCCTCTTCTGCATAACTTACAAGTACTCTATTCAATAAATTTATCAAATAATGCACATGTTGATCTAAATAAAAGATACAAAATAGTACTGAGCCAAGAATAAGTACTAAGAATAAACGAAATAAGGCTTTCTTTAGATTGATCCATGTATAACCAAATTTACTCCATAGAACAAGCGATTTCTCACTTGACTTCAATGGGAATAATGTTTGTCTACCTTCTGATGAGCGTTTTTGATCAATCAGCTCACATGTTGACTCAGAATATAAATTATCAAAGTTAACATTCAATAGATAATTTGATATATACTTATGTGCTTGATAGACTAGTAGAACAAAACTTAATCTTAGCAGGGTAGTCAATAATAAAAGGAAATAGAAGAGAGTCTCCATGGTATTAGGCGATGCTTTACTCACATGTTGAACAACATGTATGTTCTCTTTAGTCCAATCTTCCCATTTCATATTTTCTTGATTCTTCTGGCTTTCATTGACCAATATTTCAGCTTTCAGTGAACGATTGAACACTTTCAGTACTTCATAAGATTGTTCAAGATAACTGCCGAGACCTGATTCAAGATCGAATGGCATTATATCAACTGCACATTCTTTCCTCACCGATTGAATAGTAGTAAATGATTCACAGAATTCTTCTGCAACGAACTGTTTATCACATAAACCGTCTAACCATACACCTTGCATATCACGTTTTTCTGTAAGATCTTCACATACTACCAGAGATTTATTTAAACAACTGGCAAATTTTCTTTCATGCATAATCATACATGTATGTATTAAGTTGTTGAGCATTTCATATTCTAGCTGTACATTCTTAAATATACTATCCATGTCTATATTATCTTTAGGTTTATTTAATAAGTTTTCTCTTCGACTGTATACTTTTGCATTAGCTATATACTTTTGAACTTTTTCATCTAATCTTTGTTTCATTTCATTTGAAAGTTTTGTTGCTTCTGTTTTATACAGTGCTGAAATAGTATCATCTGGATAGGCATTTATGAATTCCTCTGTCAATGCTTTGTAGTCTGCAGTCTATAAAGAATAGAAAACAGTCAAGCATTAAGACTCGTACAAGTGCATATAACTGAAGTGCGTGTGCGTGTGGAGTGTTATCAGGTTGAAATGAAGCTAACTCTTCATTACAACTTAACCAGTACATGGTGTTGTTGTCTGATTTGTAAAGAGACATACAAAACACTGTCTTTGAAACTGAGACCTATGAAATAAACCACAATGACATAAAATCATTTACTGTATAATTTCATCGTAATGTTAAAAAACTGTATTTTTGTACTGAATTTGATACGGGATGATTTTGCTGACTATTGACTGCTACCCTAGAACATAGATAACCTTCCCTGCTGGAATTGTACTACAGATGACTTCCACTTCATTTTTTGAGATTTCTACAAAACAATAAGAAAACTTAATTCACCTGAAATGTGTAATGCGCAACACATTTCAGACAGTCTGGTCATTCATGTACTTGTCAAATATGGGTAGAAGTTAGAATTCATGAGCCATTGAATCGGGTCCCAGTGGCTAAATAGTATACGAGGTTGCCTTGTAACAGGAAGGTCCTGGGTTCGAGTCCCAGTGGGTGCGTACTGCCGATGATTCCCAAACTAGGATGAAACAGCAGCTGTCCAGTACTCCTTGCTGGTTTCCAATGGTTCTCTAACTGATATCAATCCGTGATCAACTCGTAAAAAATATTTTTGTAAAATGTAACTTTTTTTCCTTCACGTTCCCCAGTGGAACATTAGACTTCAAGCTAGAGGCTTGAAGTTTCTGTAGCAGTGTTTATTTTACAGGATAGGGTTGCTAGCCTCATGCCCAACCTTTCCTATTACCAGCATTATTTCTGGCTTAGTCAGGTAAAGGAGTGCGTCTGTGGCCGGGGATCGAACCCCGGACCATGTGCATGGTCGCCGAGCGTCCTAACCGCTATACTACTGACGCACAAAATGTAACATTAAAGTCTGATAAATAATCAAAGACTGAGAGCAGCCCTCAATAGAACTAGAATCTAATCCAAGTGCAGTTAATAGTTAATGAGTAAATTCTTTTCTTCCAGCACCATTCGAATCCTCTGCATACCGAATGTGAAGTGACACAGTTTTCTCTAGCTTCATATAGTGTTTCTTCCAGGCTTTGAGGTGAAACCAGCAGACAATACTTATTTCATTATTAGCAAATCTTTTGGTTAGTAGGTTCATCCACAGCTGATGCTTCGGTTATAGATATCTCTGCACAATCTAAGATATTATTCATATCGCGAATGAGGCATCATTAGAATAGGTGAAATGTGGGTAAACTTAGCTAACTTAAATATTTATACAATCAATTTTAGAACAGTTAGTTCCTTTGACAAATATAAATAAGGCATTAGGAAGATAAATATTACTATATGGTATCGTTCTGTAGTTGTTTCACGATTGATTTATTAAGTCACATAGAATATCTAAATGTACATAATCTGAATAAAATTCCAGCATCATCTGCTGCAAAGCATTTATTAACTGATTAAAGGCTTAATGACAAGCTGACATCACTTAGAGAACCCTTGAGAAACCAGGGAATACTGGACAGCTTCTTCGTCCTAGTTTGGAACTTTTCAGTGGTGCGATTCCAGTACCCTTCAGTTATAAGGCTGGCTAGTAGACCATTTTGGACACTGGAACCTAGTCCATTGGTCCGTGAATTCCAGTTTCTGCTTAATTTGCGATATACCTATTAATGTCCGGTCACAAAATCAATAATTATCTCTGTTTCTCAATTATTTCACATGACTTTAATTCAAGGTTGTTAAAGGTGATGAAAGCACTTTGAATTAATCATGTGCATCCCAGAATGTGTACAGGAGAAAAAAATAGACTTCAGCCTTTGCCTACCAAGGACTACCTGACCTACTAAAGTACGATTGGTTAATTAGTATGGACTTTTACTTTATATAATTAACTGTCAAACATATTATTTAGATAGCATTATTAGAAGACAGAGTTTATCTGAGAAATGTGATGCATTCTGAAAAATAATCTGACCACACATTTATTTGTCAAACCAACTTATATGAAAAATGTAAGGTCAGTTAAAATAAACAAAATGATAAAAGATTTAAAAATATAGAGGATAATAATTTTGATAACGCAATCAAATAATAATTGTGCGTCGGTGGCATAGCGGTTAGGACGCTCGCCGACCATGCACATGGTCCGGGGTTCGATCCCCGTCCGACTCACTCCTTTACCTCGCTAAGCCAGAAATAATGCTGGTGAAGAGGAAAGGTTGGGCATAAGGCTAGCAACCCCATCCCGTATAATAAACACTGCTGCAGAAACTTCAAGCCACTAGTTTGTAGCCCTATGTTCCACCGGGGAACGTGAAGGAAAAAATATCAAATAAGGATTACCTAGGCATGTCAAAGATATACACCCAAATGGGTAGAACAACAAAAAACTGTAAAATCTCGATAAACGCAGGTGGCAGACGACCAACTTTGTCTATAACAAAACACTTAGTTGATATATATATCACAAGACTGACAACAAAACAGCTTTCAACATTATCTATGAAAATAGTCAGGGGATTACTGAAGTACGCAGAAGTGACAATTGTCCCCAAGATTAAGCTCCCTTCTACTGTTCGCACGAGTACAATTTATTTTTATCCTTATCCTACCTTCGCAATCCGTATTTGATCCTCCTCATTCTCGAATCTCTCAGCATTGTAACTTTTAGTGAATGGTGACTAGCAGTGGAATCCAGGATACGCGTTTCGTCCTCTTCGGGACTAGTCGTCAGGATGCACCTCCATTCCCTAGTAAGTGATGGTGTCCCCATTGAGACTCGACCGAAGTATCCATCGTTTCAAACGCCACTAGACAACTCGGGCTACAAGAGCCGCCTCTAATGCAACAGGCATCAATAATTATTCGTTTTTAGTTCAGTTTTGAGTTCGCCTCAGTCATCATCAAAGAGGCCATGCTAGGAGCCGACATGTTAACAGAGGCAGAACATTTCGGTTCAATCAACCAAAGGAAAAATCAATACTGAACTAAAAACAAGCCTTTATCATTCTGTTTATTTAAACTTGTCTTTCATTTTTCATATAAACTGATTTGACATGTAAATGCATGATCAGATTTTTAGAAATGTACTGCGCCAATGCATCAGATAAACTTTGTATTTAAATAACGCTATCTAAATTTATCAAAGGGAATAGTTGCTTTAAACATTTCCTTTTATTATTCTGAACTACAACAGCTGTTAAGTAAACGTAAAGAAACTACGAAATGATATTGTAGCGGCGAATAATTCCCCAATATTATTTTAGCCTAGAGTATTCACCACTCAACATTGAATGTTGACCTTCACTGTTTAAGTCGATTAATTATGCTTAAAGTTCGCGGTCAAGCATTCACGCCATTTGGCATACTGTGGTGTTACTTTTGGTCATTCGTGCACAGACCCTAGCTAGCTAAACAATCATCATCTCACTACTATTCTGATCCCAAAATGTATCTCGTATTTTGAAAAATCAATTTGGTATTTCGATCTGTCTTTGGTCTTAGCAGAGTAAATGCTACAGGAGTTGGAGGATAAAAACTTAAGTTTGTATACATCTCACTCTGTGTAAAAGTAAACATCCCTTCATCGCTTAAAATACAATCTCGCACTTTGGTTGGACACTAGTAACTAGTGTGATGTTTCTAGTCCTTTCTTTGGTGCGGTCTGAATTCTATCAGTCAGGTTCGCAATGTGGCCACCATTCTAGATAGCTCAGCATCACGGTGCACATTGATTTGATGATATTAGATGGTTGAAGGCAATCGTTAGGAAGCCTTGGACCTAGGTTTCGTGCTAGTTGGCACTCACCGGTCAGCAAGGCATATCTGCAACCTTGAAGGAACTCATGTCCCTTCTGAATGATAGAATTCAGTCTGCAACAAAGAAAGGACTAGACATATCACACTAGTTACTAGTGTCCAGTCAAAGTATCCACTACAGTCCTACAGGAGGTCAATCGCCAGCCCGAATAGTGGTGAAGTCTCTGACTGCAACACTGAGTCACAGAGGTTTGAGTCTCAGAAGAGACATGAGTTCCTTCGAGATTGCAGATACACCTTGCTGACTTGGTGAGTGGCAACTAGCACGAAACCTAGGTTAGATATGGCTTCCTGCCAATTGCCTCCAACCATCTAATACAATCTTGCAATATTTGTCTTCAGAACGCCACACTTAAATACAATCAATACTGATGTAAATAAATGACAATAGGTTAAAACAATGTAATATAAACAAAGATTTCATGCCCTTGCTCTCCTCCTCAGTCATTATTATTTATTTTCTACTTACCAGATTATTTAGTAATGGTAAACTATTCTCATAGTCTGCAATTGCATCACTCAAATTCCTCCCAGTACTGTGCATCATATCCAGCAGTGATGGTGAGATTGCAACATGATCTGGTGGATATATTTGTTGATTTTGTGAAAGAATCAAATCGGCTGAAGACTTTGTTATATTATCCTCTGAAGGATCTATATAATTCAGTTTATTAAAATCTCTTGATACATTGTATGCCAATTCACTGAGACAATCCAAGATATTACCTACAGACTTCATATTGTATTCACTTGATGTCAACGGGCCAAAAAATGTTGTATAAATCATCTGATTAGCAAAGTAGATTTGACCAATCGCTAATCCAAATGTTGGTATAATTAAAAATAATAAACAGCGTACACGTAGTGAGATTAATGCACCGATCATCAGTGTAATTGTGATACACACTTTTGTTTGTTTCTCAATTATTTCCATAATTTTTAAAGCATCTTCATTAGATGCTATATCCATCCATGAATATTTTATGTAATATGCATCAATTCGGTGTTCATCTTTAACTAATAAAGCATTTGTTGACGGAATATTATTTATCATTGCAAATATTAGTAGACTTGCTAGATAACCTATAATCAGGAAGATTATAGCACGTAGTATGAATATTAAATAACTTCGGTAAAAGTAATTCGCCTCTGTATTGATCAGATCATTCCCATCGGCATACAGTAAAGCTTCAAGCAATGGTAAGCGATTACGTAGATAATATCGAAATTTATGCGAATACTTTAATTTCCTCACTTTGAAATTCAATCTTGGAACATATATGGCATAGGGTTGTTGTTCAACGGAATCTTTTAGTACCCATCCAATATTCATGTCTTTCTCAATTTTTCTTACTTTAGAGGAGAAATCATTCAATTCCTGTTCACTTGGTTTAGCGTACAGATGAAAGTTTTGACATGCGTCAAGTAACTTTGAAGTTGATATGTAGCCTGCTGGTCCATAGAAAATATTTACCTTACGACCAGTCATACAATCTTGCCTAGTATCATATGGTCCAAGAGTAAAAGTTCCATCTCTATGCCTTCTTGAACCATCTGCATATGTGCGTGATCCTGTTCTGTGTGTTCTTGAACCATCTTTATGCGTTTTAGACCCTGTTCGATGAATACGATTACCTTTACGATCTGTAATAGAACCTGAACGATGAATTAACTTTCTAGGTTTAGGGAGTTTTTCTCCGGCTGCAGTTAATACTGAACCATCGTGATGAGTACGTGATCCATCCACATGTGTAATTGATCCTGTTTTATGAGTTATAGATCCTGTACTGTGTTCTATAGAGCCTAGTGAAGGTGGTGTCAAGTTTCGATTGAATTCTGGTTGCATGAAAAACCACTTTTTACATGGGAAATTAGGTGAAATAATTTCGTATGTTTTTCTACTCATAAACAGCTGTAATAAATGCAGACTAATATTCACAACAGAATATATGCAAGCCATAGAGTTCAGCTCACTTGTTATTTGTAGTGTAATAGAAGTTATACAATCTCGTGTATAAACTGGTACAATATGACTAATTTGATCAGAATCTAAGGTTGTAATCGGATTAAGTATCTCCATTGAACAATAAACAGTTTTATCACGATCACAACAACTGAAAGGCAGAAATTCTGCATTTTCTTTTAAATTCCATGGATCGAATTCTAACTGTTGTACAGTATACTTTGAGATATCAAAATATTTTAAATAATCCATGGGAAGTGAATGCTTATTTCGTAACCAGTTCATGTAGGAATTAGCACCACAACAACTAAAATCATATTGTAGTTTTTCCAAATAATTTATAAGCACAATTTTTTCATCCGCTATATATTTGAAAGGAGAAACAGCATGTCTTAGTATACATGAGATTATTAAAAGGAGATTAAACAAATATTCATGTTAAATGTAAACTGGCAGATAAAAATATTTTAGTAAAGTAAATGGGTAGTTTGAGTGTGCGTTATGGATACAGTTTTTCTAGCTGAGATAACATTCGAGGCTGATTACGTAGATCAGTGAGTCATGACTGCAACCAGAGAAAGGGAAAGTAGACTTCTAGATTCTACAACAACCGAGTCACATATTATGAATAGTGAACAGTTCAACATAAAGCAACTCAAACCTAACTGAGGCTACATATCTAGTTATTCTTTGGTTTTCTTATATCTTCTTCTGAATTAATTTACATCGTATATGTAGGTTTTACATTAGACGGGAGATATGAAGGCTTGATAAGAGCTTATAGACAAAGTTGCAGACAACATCCAACTTCCTCCACCTCAAAACACATATCCAATCTACTTGCTCACTAGCGCTTTATATTTTATCACTCATCTTATAAATGAAAGTTAAATTGACGGCTTTTGCCTGCTTGAATTCTGAAGTGAACATAAGGGTTCATCAGCACATCTCCATTGCACTTGATTGATTCACTATTATCCTTTTTAAGTGGCTGCACGACCGCCCAGGAGTTTTCATTTCCTCTCGCATGATACCCTACACATTACTCTCGAAAGCCTGGAGTTTGATGTCACGTGAATGTCTTTTCAGTATATCCCCCATCCACCTCCATTTCCTTCTGCATATAAATTGATTAATAGATTCTTGGCTGTTTCTCAGGCAATATCGTTTCAGCTACAGACAGAACGGATGAAGACGTCAAAGGCAGCCAGAATCGGAAAGGCAAGATACACCTTCATCGCTCGGAAATCGGTTTAAAAATCTTCTGCACTCAGAATAAACAACAAGATTCAGATTTTCAACACCAATGTCAAATCAGTTCTTCTGCATGGGTCAGAAACTTACCCTACGCATGACGACAGGCATTTCCAACAGGCTATTGCAGACTTTTACCAACATTTGTCTTCTCTGGCTTCATACTGAAGGTCAAATGGCAAGCCAGAAAATATTAGGGACAAGAACCAAGTTCCATGGAACCAACCAAGAACCTATTGCTCAATGAATATCCTGGAGGAAATGGAGATGGACTGAGCACACGCTGAGGCGACAGGCATCTCACCCAGGCCCTCGGATGAAACCTGAATGAGAAACGATGAATGAGGTGTCCAAGGGTGGCGTGGAGTAGAATTGTGAGATTATGAACTGCCGTAGGGCCAGCTAAAGGGGAAACTACGAAATAGAACAAAGTTTAGATGTGCTTTTGAAGTCCTAAGTCCCATTAGGAAACCTAGGGAACAGTATTAACAAATAATAATAAGCTTTGATAAAAAATCAGCAGTATCTTGCTGAAAATGCTTTTAATGATTTGAGTGCTGAGTCTCTAGACAACACTGGACTACTGACTCGACATTATTGTTGGAAATTTGGATTTTGTTCCTTGAGTTGTAGATCCCTGCACTGATTGGATTAATTTTCCAATACTGACTGTCTTTGACATTCTCATACAGGTGAGTGAAATAGGCAATTTAATTTAGATTTATCTCACTCATGACAGTTAGTGTTTGCTGATACTGGTAGGGTATCTTCATTACTTTTGTCTCCTTTATATTCACTGGAAGTCCTGTACTCGTTTGTAAATGTTCAACTTTATGAGACACGAAACATAAATCATTCCCAATTTCCAGATCTTCCAGTTTGTTTAACCCAGCCAAGTGTATGCTCATTTTCTTAGTCCGCAGCAAGATCCAATTCACCACGATTGTAATCAACCTTGTTCTACTCCTTTCCTCACTTCAGAGGCTTCAGTGAGCCTTCTGTTATGAATTATCTGGCATAAGGCATCATAATTTAAGCTTTTGAATGAAATTAACAAAGGTTTGAGGCACTCCGCAATTTTAAAGCTGCTGAAAAATTACTTTACAATCAACGCTGCCAAAGGCCATCACATAGTCGATGAAGTTAAGACAGAGAGAATAGTATGATTCTAGCCTCTGTTCGATGGTGATGCTTCGTGTTATAAATTGATTCATACACGACTTGTTTTTTTGCTAAATCCAACCTATTCCTGATGAATTTAGTTGAATACATTTTATTTTCAAGCTGTTCCAAGCTTTAGTCAAAATTTAATCGATTACGACTGAGAAAAAGTAGGTAATTCAATGGTATGTGTTACTTATATAAGCTTCTGTCTATCCCACGCAAAATACTAAGCCGCGTCGTTCTGGAGAGAATCAAACACGCCACCCTGGATGAAAAACTTCGAGCAGAACAGGCTGAATTCAGGAGAAACGAGTCATGCATCGATCAAATGTATTGATCAAATCGCCACACTACGTATCATCATTGAACAGAGCTTGGATTGGCAGTCAGCTCTCAATCTCAACTTCATTGACTTTGAAAAGGCATTCAACAGCGTCGATCCAGAGTTGATTTGAAAACTACTTTGCTATTATGGGGTGCCGCCAACAATTATACATCTCATCCAATAGTTGTCCGACAATACTGCATGCCAATTAATCCACAACGGGGATCTCACGGAATCCTTCGAAGTGAAGACCAGAGTAAGACAAGCTGGCTGCCTACTATCTCCAGTGGTTTTTCTGATTGCTGTAGACTGGATAATGCGACAGACAGCGGGCGGCGAGGAAACAGGCATAAAATGGACCCACACAAAAAAATTGGAGGATCTGAACTTCGCCGATGATATATGTCTGATTTCCCACAAACTGGAAGATATGCAAGTGAAAAGCATTAAGTTGGCAGAAGAAGCATCAAAGACAGGATTTCCTTCAGGTGAACATAGAGAAAACAGAGGTGATGAAGATTTCTGGCCAACAGCAAACAAAAATTAGCACAAATGGGAGAAATCTGAAAGAGGCAACCTCTTTCACCTACTACCTACCTGGGAAGCATCGTTTCAACTACAGGCAGACGGAACTGATCAGGATATCAAAGCGAGGATCGGGAAAGCAAGGCAAGCTTTCACTACTCTCAAGTCTGCATGGAGATCAACAGCAATCAGCTTGAAAAACAAGATCCGGATTTTCAACTCTAATGTGAACTTAGTGCTAATACACGGATCAGAGACTTGGTGCGTCACGAACAGACCTTCATCAACAGCTCTCTTTGCTCAATACTCAAGATCAGATGGCCGGCCAGAAAAGATCAGCAATACGGAGGGATCTCTGGGATCAGGAACCAGTTGTGCAACAAATATGCAGGAAGAAATGGAGTTAGGTGGATTGGCCATACTCTGAGAAAACAAACCATCAAGTGACATCACATGCCAGGCCATTGCTCGAGTGGAACCCAAATGGGAAGTGGCGATTTGGTCGCCAGTGCGAAGGTGACATGGATGAGGTCATGCGGAGAGGAGATGAAAACATGTGGGCTGACGTGGAGCCAGGTGAAGAAGTTGACATGTGGCTGAAACCCTGTGTTCCTCTAGGAACTTAAGGAACTTATATATATATATATATATATATAACTGACACATACTTACTTGGTAATTCCGCTGAAGCAATCCTGTCAAATATGTTATACAAATGATTTGATACATCATTCTGTAAGAATCCAATATCATCTAACATAATAAGCAGACAGTATATACTTAAGAAAAATGAAAATATAACATAAGGTTGGATAAATAAACTCCAGGTATATGTTGTAAAATAATAAAACAGTTTATACTGATTACGCTTTAAATCATTAGATCTAATTCTAATAAATAAAATCAACGCCCAATAGGCTGTGCATATTATTGTACCGCATAATATTAAAGTGATTTTAACAAATAAATGACTTTTTATTCGATATTCAACGTCCAATGTAAAGTTTGATTCACTTGTGATTAAATTTGTTGGAAAAAATGATACTGAATTGCTAAACATTAGTATATTATGAAATAGTATTAAAAGTGATATGGAAAGATTTATTACACAACTTTGAAACTGCCACATTCTATGTATTTTCTTTTGTATTTTTAATGTGAATAATTTCAACAAAAGATGTTTCTGTTAGATTTCATTTCTTAGAGAAATTTTCCTTTGTTGTTTAAATGATACTGAGGATTTATTGACCTTGAGTCATGTGAATAAAGTAGAAAATTGATTTTTATTTATTCTTAGTTAATTGAGATAAATGATTTTTTTAATGTATAAATGTGCATAGATGATTTAAGGTTTTCGATTATGTAGCGTTCTTTAAAGATGAATTCAAATGCCGTATAGTTAAGCAATTTGATGAGAATAATATGTGGCTAGTTTGTAAGAAACAAGTGAACATTCTGTGAGTTTCTGAGTACTTTTCATGCAACACAGGAAGATGTACTCTTGAAATGTTACTTCAAGTCATCAGTGATTTGATAGCCTGTCGATGGCCGTACTTTCTTGTGCCCACAAGTGAGATAAACAAGTGATACAGTCACTTGTGATTGATCAGTTTGTCATTAGAGTTGCGGTAATTTCACATTTCCAAGGAGCGTTTCATCCGGTCGGTCGCATAACTGACGACACATGCTATTACAGAACAGGGAAGAAATGATATGCCAGTGGATTTATTTGATGAATTAGGTGGATTCATCCCATACCAAAGTCTAAGGACTTGGCGGGAGTGTCACGAATGCATCCAACGTTCCGAATAGGTGATAACTTTATACAACTTCACTTATCGCTTGACTATTATTCTCAGAGAACCTTAAGTTAGCATAAAATACATGGCAGTCTGGTTAATCAGGAAGAAAACGGCATGGTAGATGTAGTATATTTGCACCTATGTATAGCCTATTCTTGTCAGGAAGATCGGAAAGCGGGCATCAAACAATGTAAGCCTCATGTTTTTAGTTGGAATACACTGGGTCTCCATTCACCTTCAGAATTAATCTTGAGTTCAGTTGGAGTAAACTAGTTGATCCCATCAGTATTGTGAGAATACAGTGAAAGTAAGTAAACACCTTCATGAAATGATTGTATTATTAGTAGCCATCTATCTAAGTTAATAATGAATTCGTTGCGATAATAATACCTATTATTGTTGTTATTATAGTCATTATGAACTGACTGACTGGTGCCAACGTAGAACTTTGCACCGATGTGCAGCAGTTCAAGTCGCCACACTTCACTTAGCACAAAAAGCAAGAGAAGAAAGTAAAAAGAAATGCAAAACAGAGACAGTAAACAGAAATATGAGGCAAAAAGAAAAGTAATATGGAAGAACCATATAGTTTTATTGGATATTATAAGTCACAAGGAGTGGATGCATCTGCGCCATTGAGAACGAGTCATTATGAAGATGAACGCTGTTATTATCATTGCTGCTAATATTGTTATTATTTGTCATAAAGCCGTTGTAATTTGTGTTAGAATTCCTGTTCAAGCTTTGGAAATTACTGCATAACTTATTATTAAATAATTTCATCATTTCATGATGCTTCGATGGACCTACTAGATGTCGACCAACGATAAATCATGAAGTCTCTTAATTTTTATGAAAACTACTTAGCTACTTCTATATGTTGTTTATAAAGTGATTACTTGTATAAACTTGCCAGGCAGTCATCTGGAAAATTCCTTTATTCAGATCATACATGTACTACCCATGTTATTAATGCTTTTATGGAACCTTTTCAGACTTAAGGAGAAACATATATTTACTGTGTGCGCAAATGGAACCTAATGACAGTAAAGAAAGATTACTCATCAGAATTATCTGTAAATCTGAAATCTAATTTTTGTTTAATAAACACTTTTTCATTGAATCTGTGTTAGTCTAAGCCACGTAAGAAGGTGTAGACTGGCTTCCTGGTTGGGGTCCTCGGGACTGTAAAAACCAATGGTTGGAAACAAATGGTGACATGGCTCAAAATAGTTCTCAATGGCCGGCGCAGATGCATCCACTCCTTGTGACTTATGATTTCCAATGAAACTATATTGTTCTTCGTTATTACTATTCCTTTGTCTCACACCTCAACTTTCTGTCTATATTATGCATTTCTCCTACTTTCTTCTCTTGCTTTGTGTGCTACATGGAGTGTGGCAACTTGAACTGTCGCACATATGTGCAAAGTTTTATGTCGAAAACAGACAGACAGAATCTGTGTTCCTTATGTTGTAATGCGATTCTGTTCCAGTAACATTAGTAACACGTGCTAGGGTAGGAACTAAGGGTTAACTATTATGAATAAATGCGGCGTCTCGAAAACTTTTGTTGATGCGATTAGATGAACAGATAGTGATGTACCGTGTTCTGTGGCTGCGAAACGTAGGCATTCTATTTTAGATTAATATCATAACCGTAGATGTATTGAGTCATGCGTCTAACAGTATAGATACAGTCTTTTCCTCATGGTACATAACGATATCTAGAAATCTCAAGCGAGATTTTTCAAATAGATTTATATTTACTTTTTGACTATGGACCGTGAGTCAGTTGATGTGTTCTGCTAAGATGGTAGATAACTCTAAACGCTTTATAATCTAAATACCTTCTTTCAGATGTGGACATATTTACTTTATTTAGCTGCACCATATTCTTTTTACCAATAAACTTCTTTAAATACCTACTTTTACTTAGTAATTCAAAGAGAACCTCATATTATAATCTGTACGCCACAACTTACGCAAAGGCTAATATTCAGTCTTATCAAGTAAAAATACACAAACGAATAACGAGGAATACATTCATTAATGAATTAACATGTAATACAAAATCAGTGACACTGTGGAAATCTTTTTCTCCAGCACCGAACTCCATGAAATCCCCGAAAGTAGATATTACATGAAAAAGAAAACAAGGACTCAAAAAGTGTAGACATTGTTATCACCATAAATACAAAATTTAATTACTTAAAGTGCTAAGAAATACTAAATAATGTTTTAAATTGTGTAAAGTTACATCAGTCAATATTTTTTCAATCAGAGAAAATGGACATTGCATCTGTCTGTAAATATCAGGTCTGTGTGATAAAAACAAATAAATACTATGTGTATATAGTTCCTGGATATTTCTGTTGATTTCTCTTAAAGAGAATCATGTAGAGGAGCTTTGAGACAGTAGCAAAGGTAGAGAACAAAGAAAGTGAAAATTATTAACAAAACGAACTAGTCTACCTAATCACGTCGATGCTGAATCCTTTGGACTGCAAAAAAACATTACTAGCAGTCATTATAATGCGTGTCTTTAAGCCACTCGGCGTTTTCTAAACGAAATAGTCAGTATTTCAACTATTCATTAAACTGCCGTAATTCAGAGCCACCGAATATACCATCTTTTGATATTCATGCTAACATCACTTCATTCCACCGGATTTTAGCAGGCATACCAGCATAAAAGTGTGTAAAACAACGAATACTTGGCCAATTTTAAGTTTTATCTAATAAATGTAGTGTGTTGGCACCAGCTGACCATTTGATCTACAGCCGTCTACAGACTGCCCTATGATTTCCCGCTTTCTACTCAAGTCTGAGTAGATAAAAAGAAGCACGATACGCCCTTGGTTTGAGATATATCACAACATTATTCACTAACATAAATGCTTGATCCTATATAGTACCGAGTGACTCATATTGTGACGACAGAAGACAAGGGCCAGGCAAAAGATCGTTTATTGAGAAAATCAACAGATATTTATAGATTTTTATGTACATTATTATTCGTTATTGTTAGCAGAGAAGCAACGTATTCTGATTGGTTGTCTTCTTGCTTAAGGTTATTATGTCATCTCCTTGTGACCGTTTCTTAGAAAGTCAGGCCATATATCTGCGAACCGTATTTGCACACGTTAAATCTGCTGCGACTGGTTGGTTAAGATTTGTTATTGTTTTTCTCATGACCCCGATTCAGGATGAAAACATTGACGTAAATTGTTGTCTACAATTTTGGCTTGCAGACAGCTCTCACCACAATATGAGTGCTTGCTAACCAGAAGTGATCTAAATACCGGATGAACATTTCATTTGTTTGAGGCTGACAGTTCATCAGTATTCTGCTCGGTTTCGCTCAGCTCAGAGAACCAAATCTGTAAAAACCACCGGATTTCTGGCCAGCTGATTAAAACAAATTTGCAGTTTACACAGTCTGAGATGAAATTTCACTACATTTTCCTTTGTAAACTGATATTATTCAGATCACGACTTATGATCTGCTTGGTAGCATCAATGGCAATCAAGAAAGCAAGGATAAATGCAGGTAACCATAATTATGGTGAAAATGATAAATTATGAAGGCGTATGTAGTGATAAGCTTAGTGGTTTTAAAGACGGATGTTCAAACGGACCCAACATAAATAAGATTTCATATTAATAAAGTACGAAAGTGGTAGTCAGATGGAAGTACAGAAAGTAGTAAAGAAATATGTGAAAGGAGTGACAAAGACTAGTAAGAAAAGGTTCCTTTTCTCAAAAAATAAAGGAGATATAGGTATTTAGTTCTTTCTGTTAAGACAGACAACCTATCGTTGTTAAAGGTGAATTCATGAGTGATGCGTGTACTGACATGTTAACCTGATTGAGCGGTTTTCAATTGGTTCCTTTGGCATTAATTTTGCGAAGATTTGCAATGCCATACAACCAATCATATTTATTTACTTACAGCTTGAATTTCTGAGGTTTCTTTTAAATATTAATGGCATTTATTTTGAAATAATAAGGCGTCGTTGTTGTCGCAGCTACGCCTGACTTTTGTGTCTATCTCAGTGTGGGGAATATTTTCAAGTGACCTACTGATTATAGTGTTATGTCTGGAGGCTCATTCCAGTCAAGTTAGATGACAACCACAAATCGGTAACACTCCGTTATAACACTTTCTTAAGTAAAGGAGGCGTAATACTGGCATAAATATCAATGGATCAGTCTTCAGACGCTATTTACAATACAGAAAGGTTCCGCTATATACAACAGAAGAATGTGAGTCGTGTTGGAAAGTATCAGTTGGATGGTATAAATTGTCTTCAAATGATTTAGTTTTGCTTGTTGAGTGGCCGGCATTAGTCAAATGAAGCACTATGGAGTTTAAGGGGAAGCTTTTACCTTTCCTTTATTCAGATGTGGTGTGTAATGCTGTCTAGTTGTAGGCCCATCATTACTGCCCCCAGCACAGCAGATGAATGAATGAATATACACGCATAAATGAAAACATTTCTCATTCGTCATGATTACTGCAGAAGCAGTGATGCAAAGGCTTGAAAACATAATCCTACCGAAGATTAAATCCAAAATCTGGACACGTTACGTAGATGATACATTTGTAATAACCAAAAGAAACGAGTTGGATAAAACTCACAACTTAATAAACGACGTCTTCAACGACATCAAATTCACAAGAGAGGAGGAATCCGAAAACAAAATCCCATTTTTGGATGTCTTGGTCAAGCAAACAACCAGAGAGGAATTAGAAACTCAAGTTTATAGAAGATCAACTCACACGGAATAAATACTGAATTACAACAGCAACAGTCCAATAAAACCTAAAAGGAATTGTATACAAACACTATTCAAGAGGCCCAGGACTCATTGCAGCAAACCCACCTTAAGGAAAATTAAAGAAAGATATCTCATGGACGCCTTTCTTCCAAAAGAATGGATATCCACAGAATTTCAATAAAGGAAATATACCCTCAAGCCAACCTACCAAATCAAAGGCCCCCAAGGAAAGCACAAAGAAACTCGCCCTACCATACATAAAGGACATCTCAAAAATCACTGTAAGACTCTTCTAACCCTTAGGAATTGATGTCACACTCAAACCAACAAAAATCGCTTCACTCAGCTCTATGTCAACCAAAAGACTCAACAGTGAAAGAAGATAAAACCAACATCATGCACAAAATAAATTGTAACAACTGCGGAAAGCACTACACTGGTCAAAGTGGATGTCCCCTTCGACTTCGTATCCATGAACATAAACTAGTCGTCAAAAGACATGACATCCACTCCCTCATATCACTACATACATACAACCACGGACATCAATTCGACTGGGACAACGTTCAAATATTAGACAGAGGAAACACCAAGAATGCTAGAGAATTTTTAGAAGCCTGGTATTCCAGTGAATCGTCAATCAATAGACACATCGAGATAGACAAAATTTACCAACCGATAAGAAGGAAATATCACACACAAAGGGTCAAAATTCAAGTCAAGGAAACAATCAGCGCCAATACCAATACAAGTAGCCTAGAGGGTGTGAAAACACACGAAAACAACCAATCATCTTGAAGGTCACCAGGAGAGATGACTAATAAACTCGTGGAGAAATCTGAAAGCTCACTTCAAATTGAAGTATGCGCTGAAGATGTTGCCTAGTAGGGCAGTGAAAGCTTCGCCAATTAACTATGCATCTCAGAGAACACAACTACATCAAAATCCTCCACCTGAGCTACAAATCTTCTTCATCATGTCTAAATTTTGATAGGCATACTGTCTCTTCATTCATTCCCTTACAAGTTTTTACACCGCTATCGATTAGCCTATCCAATATAAAGTTGCATACAATAATATTCCTGGTTGTCCTCCTACATTAAAGACCAGGTAGTTTCATGAAATCATCTAATCTTCAGTATAGACCGAAAACATCTGTTAATGGAAGTCTCTAGCCTGTTAGAAATTCTTTCCATGATGCACCAAATCTCAGAAGTGTAAAGAAAACTCTGATATAATATTAGTGTTGAAGATCCTGATCTTGTTGCCGACGCTGAGTGCAGAACACTTGCACAATTATTTCAGTCTATTGAAGACCTGTCTCGCCTTTCCGATCTTGGTTTTGGCAGCCCTTTTATAAAAACAGATAATAGACAGAAGGAAACTGAATTATCTGAAAACTCATTATCAAATTACCCTTTAAATATTCTAAATTATTCTCGAAAGTTGGTTTTTATTAAGTGGATCTGACATATTTTGACTTGCTACTAAAATGAACAAATGTAGACTAGAAGTGCATCTGAAATTTTATATAACAATGGCTGTGGTTAGAATGAAAACCTACTTGCAGTCGTAGCCACTAAATTAAGAGATCCAAGTGAGCTGGATGCTAGTTCTAAGCATGTATTAATCGAAGTTTTTATAGTAACTTCAATCATCACTAAATGATTTCATATAAGTTCGCTGAACCAGGGTAACTTTAACCTAACTAATATATGCATCTTATTTCTGAATATCAGTGATGAGCATATCTGTGAACCATAATAAATAATAATAAATAATAAAGTGGATTCGATTTATATCAGTCGATTGATCAGTGTTAGAATGCTTGCTAGCCATACACGTAATCCGAGTACCATTTCCAGCTGATGCATTCTTAAAACTCGTCTGGATGGCAGTAGGTTCAGAAAAGTGTGGAAATCAGGCGTAAGGCCAGCAACCTTATTCTGTGAAAGCAACACCACCTCTACTGAAACTTCAAAAACTTGAATCCTTGTGCTCCATTTGAAAATCACTGATTAAAAGAAATTAACACCTGGTAAATAAGCCTGTATGTATTAGTATAATTCAACTTGATGCCTTTCTGATAATATATTGCTTTATATCTAATTACTTTTGGTAAACCTTTTATTGTGAGGTTTAGGAATTTAAATTAATGGGCTCTTGGTGCTGATGGAAATTATGCGATGTTGTTTAGTTTTCCACTAAGCATTTCTGTAGTTTTGGCAATAGGACAAATGAGGTTGAAAAAATTTACTGCCTACTGTTAACTACTCAACAATGCCTTGAAAAAATGTTTTATTCTACCTCTTATTATTATTATTTCTGATTCATTTTAAACTATCTTTTATCAGTAGCATTATCTTAACTAGTTTCGACACTATTATTATTACTATTATTACTAATATTACTCAGTTCGCAATTCTGTATATATTTGAGTTCTTTGTCTGAGGAATAATTGTTTATTTAAGTGATCTAATTGAACCGTAACCCATTTTATCTTAATTTTAACCTTTCATACTCCCTTCCCTTTATGTATCTGAATATGACCTGGAAAACATTCACACGTGTCAATTTGTCTGGTTAATTCCAAACAGTTTATTTGCTTATCAGACTTATATCTCTCACTATATTCCTAATAGCATATATATCACTGTATGTAGAGTATTCAGCTGAAGAGTTCTATCGAAATTCGATGAACTGATTAAATCCAGATTTACTAACCTTTGTTGCTTGTTTTAGATACTCAGTCATTAGGTTGGAGTCTATTCAAGTATAGTTTTTGATGCAGTGAAAGAGGTATTTCACTGACACGGAAATAATCCCTCCTCAGCAGAGTCAAAAAGTTTCGCCAAGAAGCAAATGGTGATTGTCGCTTCACTTGCTTGTTTTAAATGCTAACAACGCTAGCGTAAATCCCTTCAATACATTCAACACTAAATATTACTGAAAAAACCCCACTTTTTCCATATACCATCACGAAGCCATGATAAAAGAGCAAAATAAATCATTAGTAGTGAAAAACTTGAAATCAGTTTGTAGTCCTTGTAAAAAGATTTAACTAACACTTAACAGAATTAAACCCACTGAGAATTAGCTAATCTGAAGAGGAAGAAGAAGGCGAAGAATCCATCTTCCATTTTATTCACGCATAAAAACACCTGAAAACAGAATAACTACTTTACTGTCAATTGATCTTTTTATTCTGTTTGAAATATACATTTTAGTTGCACATTCAAAATATCACAACCGGATGGTTAAACACCTTCAAAAATGAATAATTTCCTAATTGATACAAACGCAATTAGTTTTAATCACGTGCAATATAAGGCATGATATAAAAAAGGCAATATAATTACTAAAGTCGTGTTTTTCATACAAAACAAAGACAGAGTTTTGAAAAAAATACTACAATAAGTTATTTAGATTATTGTTGGATCGCCTGTAATGTGTGATTGACTTGATGAATTATTGTTTTCTGGACTTCGACTTCGATGTCTTGGTGGTAGAGGTCGTGAATTGCGTAACGGTAGTAGAGGGATAGCCTGTGGTGAGCCGGCATAACTATCCGGTCCCATTTCACTGTCACTAGGTCCTGGGGATCTTTCAAATTCTGATTCAGGCTCATTGTTTTCTTCTCTTGGTTGTCTACGATTTCGAACCCCTGAAAATGGAACAGTGAAGAAAACTGAGTGATTCCGGTTAGTTTACGGAAAAGGGGGGTAATTAATAAACAGCAGTTACTTTGAAAATGCGTTGGAAACCAACTTCAAACCACGATATTTTAAAGGAAGGAGAAAAAGTAATTGTATTCTTTCACCTTAGTGATCATGTTTGTATTACATCTTCTCAGAGACATTTTTTCTCCACAAAGATCTTTATACCAAATAAAAGTGGCTCCTCCACCCAAAAGCATACCAGTTCGTAACTTAAAATGCCTTATATAGTGTTTAAATATGCCATGTTGAACAAGGAAGTGCCTGATGCCCATAAAGTTCACGAATAACCATTAACCAACAATATGTATACTACGTTCAATATTAAATACACACTAAAGCAACATTTCATAATACAGTCAACAGTTTCTTTCGTAAAACTTAAATATAAAAAGACGATAATAAGTTAATTGGTGGCTGGTGACTAGCAGTGGAATCCAGGATGCACATTTCATCCTATTTGGGACTCGTCACTGGATGCGCCTGCATTCTGCACTCAGTGTTGATATTCCCACAGAGGCTCGAACCTAGTGCCCATAGTTTCAAACGCAAAAGCGTTATCCACTAGATAACTTGGGCTACGAGAGTCACCTGTTCTGCAACGAGTCATATTAATTATTTAATCCAATCAATCGACGGGAAAATCTAAAATTCAATTGAAGAAAATAATAGTTTAAAACCTCCCTCCAAACCAACTCCTGAACAGTTAATCTCATGCTGGCAAGTGCCTGGTTACAGGAAGAAATTTCTTGGAGTTCCATTTGGAAGATGCAACCGGTGGGGTTCAACAGGTCAAGCGTGAGGACAAATACTCATCGACAACACTGGCTGGTGGTCACACTACAATCGATAATTGGTAGGAGTTAGAATTCACGGATCAGTGAATCGGGTCTCATTGGCTGAATGTTCTACGCGCTTTCCTTGTAACCTGAAGGTACTAGATTAGAACTCCAGTGGACGTGTACTGCTGAACAGTTCTAAACTGTGACGAAGCCTCTTCCGAGTATTCCCTAGTGCTCAGTATTTCTCTAACTAAGATCACTCCGTGATTAAACTTGAAATAATTCTTATCCCTACAAATTAAATTTTTTTTCATTCTAAGAATATAAAATGTTAAAACGCTTTCGACATTAATACAACAGCCAACAAGACTTAATGCTTTCATTCCGTCAGTTTTCTCCTCTGTAAAGCTTTGAATCCTTAACTTATGACAATTAGTCAATAGTACATACATAAATAATTTTTAGCCAGAATTATCCTTAGGGATATGAAAGAGAGACTTGATGGTAACTCCAAAAGAATATCTACACACATTTATGCATTTTTAGTGAACAGCAATATGCTTTTTAACCAGTAGATAAATGTTTACCTTCAGATTCACTGGGTGACCATTGATCTTCACTATCATTTTCATCTACACCATCGTCAATGGAGCGTGACATTTGTTCACGTGATGGTTGACGTGTTCTCGAGAAATCAGGATAAGCAGCTCCTGGGAGATGATATAAAATTTGAGCATCTGGATCTTCTGGTTGAGCATATTCAGGACTAAATGTTTGTGTATTTTAAAATAAAATAAAGGGCAATGTAAACGTTATTCAAAGCCAATGTCAAACATTATTTTTCAGTAAGAAAACAACAGAGCTTTAAAAAAATTATATTTTCAGTTCCGGAATCTAATCGACTGTAACATGGAAACAACCATACAGTCTTTTCCAACATTTTCACATACTGAGGCGTTATAAGATTCAAGTTGACGAGTCTACTAAAATGCAACTAATCATTTGCCTATACGTCACGTAAGAATTCAAATGTGCATGCACGCGATATAAAGGTTAGCCATATAGAAAAAGCTAAAAATTTCAACTTTCTTAAGAAACAATAGTGACAACAAGAATTTATCTGTCAAACACCTGAATATGTCAGTACAGACAAGAACCCTTCCAAATTTTAACACCAGACGACTATACCCACTTTTGACCTCTATTTATCAGTTACAGAACATTATAGTGATTACAAGCATTGTGTATAGGGCTCACAAACATTTAAGCATGTGATCTAAACTGTGATGGATATTATATTTGTTACCTATTGAACATAAATTATGTTTAGGAAGACAGAATAAAGTTTGAATTCAATCGGAAAAATTTAAAGCAATCGAGAACTCGTTTGAACTCTTCACTACAAAGATAATATTACCATCAGAATTTAGGCTTTTCTAGGCCTCAAAAATTTATTTGTTGAAGACTTCTGGGAATTACAGATAAACCTGAAATTCTCTTTTACATTCCTTGCATTCTGAGTGGAACATACGGCCTCAAGTTTCGAAGTTTCAGTAGCTGTGGTGCCGACTTTACAGGCTCCGGCTAGGTGGCCGGAAATCAAACCCCTAACATCTTGCATCGTTAATGAGCACCATTCTACCTCTGAGCAACCAATGCATTTAATCTTCATTAAGTAGTATAGATTTTAGTCTCAGTAGCCGGGGTAGAATCGATCGGAATATTTTATTTAGCTTAAAAACCGAAGAACTTAGCTTTCTAATCAAGTAAAGTTTACTTTATTGTTTTTCTACGTAACGCCTAGTCTTTCTTGACAATTAGACTTTGATCAGTTTTGTAGAAACCACCTAATGGAAAGTGTCAATAGGTTAAAGTCGCCTGAGGATAATTTCATACCAAGAGCTTTAAACTATATGCATCATTGAAATTTACTAGTGGGAATAATTTAGCGCCTAAAAATCACTCTGTATTACACCTCACAAATATTTCGCTCAATATTCAGAATTGAATTGAAGAAATTCTGTCTACTAGACATTCATTTGTATTTTTGAAACAGTCATTTCAAATCATCTTATAACGCCCTGCATAACCTACAATGTCTACACGATGAAGTTGTAGTCCTGGTGGAAACTTGCATCCCTAATTCTATCAGATTATAAGGACCTAATTGTTTTATGTGTGATAAACCACTTATTCGAATCCCTTTTTGTATTCTCTTAAATACCACGTATAAGTTGAAGTGAATGCAAGTGTGAAACCGATGCAAAACTGATTACCTCTCTGGCATTTTCACATATCACTTATACTGCAGTCAATGCTCTAGAGTGTGTGTGTGTCACAATAAGTTTCTATACAATCTCTGATTAAGTGAAGAAATTTTCAATAGTTGGTTTGTAAGGATCAGATTTATTTTTCGAGTTTGATTACGAACTGATATCAGTTAGAGAACCATTGAAAACCAGAGAGTATTGGATAGCCGTTTCATCCTAGTTTGGGAATCATGGACAGTACGCACCCACTGGAGTTCGAACCAAGAACCTTCCAGTTACAAGACAAACTCGTATACCATTCAGCCACTGGGATCAGATTCAGTGGCCAGCTCATGAATTCTAACTTCTACCAACTCGTGATTTTTAGCGCGACCACCAACCAATGTTATCGGTGGGAAATCCATCCTTACTCCCTACTGGATGAACCTCACTGGTCATGACTTCTCACTAGAACTCTAGGAAACTCGGTACTGTAGAAAGTCACTAGCGAGCATCAGCTTAATTTTAAGAGTTGGTTTGTAAGGATACGAGCTTGCCTTGTAACCGGAAGGTCCTGCGTTCGAACTCCAGTGGGTGAGTACTGCCGGTGATTCCCAAACTAGGATGAAACAGCTGTTCAGAACCCCGTGTTTTTCAATGGTTCTCCAACCAATATCAATCCGTGATCAACTGGTAATAACTGAAGAATATCAGGTAGATGAAAAGTATGTTTGCTGGTAAATCTGTTGAGTTTAAATGAGATTTATTCTTTAGTCAAGATCACTGTAAGAATAAGTGACAACTACTCAACGCATGACAATTACTTTATTTTAGTTTGGAACTCGACAATATTTATCAATAATAATTCCAGAAAAATGATCGATGCAGTCAAAGTACTATTTTATTCATGAGACTGAGATGAAGTTACTTAGTGTTCGTAAATCCTGTCAACGAAGTTAGCTCTCAAGAAGGTTACTTATCTATCTATAACATGAGATAATGATCATGACATATATACTGTGTGTCTTAGCGAAACAAAACAAAATTGACTGGATGACAAGGCAAGTTACTCGCTTCAAAGATATTCTTGAGCTTGTACACGTTGAGTGTTATGTTTAAGCATCGGAAAAAAGCCCGGGGATTAGAGAAAACAACTACTATTTACTGTTTAGGTTTCATTCTTGTTTAAGATGCATTATACTTTTTACAAAACATAACAGTCATTATTAATATATGTGTAAAACTTGGGCACTGTGGTAGTAAGTAACTCCATATTAGTTTGTTTATTTGATATATCACACAGTGAAACAGTATTATTTACTGGATGACGTTTCGAACAAAATTTATTGTTCATAATCATATCAATTATAATCACACGACTTTGACACTTGAGTTTTATAGTTTTCTTTGTTCTCTCCTATTTGTCGTTTGGGTAGTAGAATTTTCCAGATATCGGGGACAGGTGATGAATCATTCCTATTACATGTATTTGTAGTTGATTCGATAAACAAAGCTTCTGTTATCAATCTCTCCCTATACCCTGTGACATTAGATTTTAAAACTGTCATCCTATCCCATCCTATTGTGTGGTTGTGTGTAACTGCATGTAGTGCTATAGCTGAACTATTCTCTAGATTTCTTATCTTATTCGGGTCAACCAATCGAGATTTTGCTAGGTTTTTGTGTTCAGCTAGTCTGACTGCCCCTGTTCTACTAGTTTGACCTATGTATTTGACCTGACAATCATTACAGGGTATGAGATAAACTAAATTGTTTTGTTTTAAGGGCTCTACAGGATCCTTTAACCGACAAAGCTTGTTTCTAATTGAGTTTGTGGGTTTGAATGCCATTTTTATTCCTGCCTTGTTAACAATTCTGCGTAAGATGGGAAGTTAAACACTAGTGTTTACAGGAAACCCACACACTCAAACAGATATTTAGACTTCCGATCGTCCCATCCTATGTCAGTAAAAATAGGATTGGTGAAATGTTTAAATGACAGAGCACAAAAACTAAGTAGTACCAAAGAAAATCTAAAACAGGAACTGATACACATAAAAGAAGCTTTGAAACTTAATAATTACCCGGATAAATTAATCAAGAAATATGTAAGGAAATGTAAAAATAAAATAAATAATGATAGTAGCGATAGTGATAATAATAATAATGTTAATAATAATAGTGATAATAATAATAATATTAATGACGACACCAATAATAAGAAATCTAAATCATCAGTAGTAATTCCATACAAGGAAGGAACCTCGGAAGCCTTACGCAGAATTGTTAACAAGGCAGGAATAAAAATGGCATTCAAACCCACAAACTCAATTAGAAACAAGCTTTGTCGGTTAAAGGATCCTGTAGAGCCCTTAAAACAAAACAATTTAGTTTATCTCATACCCTGTAATGATTGTCAGGTCAAATACATAGGTCAAACTAGTAGAACAGGGGCAGTCAGACTAGCTGAACACAAAAACCTAGCAAAATCTCGATTGGTTGACCCGAATAAGATAAGAAATCTAGAGAATAGTTCAGCTATAGCACTACATGCAGTTACACACAACCACACAATAGGATGGGATAGGATGACAGTTTTAAAATCTAATGTCACAGGGTATAGGGAGAGATTGATAACAGAAGCTTTGTTTATCGAATCAACTACAAATACATGTAATAGGAATGATTCATCACCTGTCCCCGATATCTGGAAAATTCTACTACCCAAACGACAAATAGGAGAGAACAAAGAAAACTATAAAACTCAAGTGTCAAAGTCGTGTGATTATAATTGATATGATTATGAACAATAAATTTTGTTCGAAACGTCATCCAGTAAATAATACTGTTTCACTGTGTGATATATCAAATAAACAAACTAATATGGAATAACAGTCATTAGCAAAATTACGCAGTAAATCTTTTTTGTTAGTTGTAAGTAACCTGCTCACTGATAGAAACCTGCTAGTTGTTTCTCTGTACAAATGAAAAGATATCATATTTGGCTAAAGAGAATGGATGATGTACGTCGGTAGTTTAGTGATAGGATGCTCATTTACCACCCGAATGAGCCGGGGTTCTATTCCCGGTCGGTGAACCCCAAAGCCTCACCTAGTCTATTACCCGATAGTAAGCCTAGAAGAGAGAGAAGTTTGGGCGTGAAGGTATCAACTCCATCCTGTTAAAAAGGGAACATCACTGCTACTGAAACTTCAAAGAGCCTGAAGCCGTATGTCCCATCCAGAATGCAAAGGAATGAAAAAACAATGGACGATAGTGAGAATATGATTGTCTGTACAAACTGCGTGTGTTAATATATTTGTTTCTGATGAAAACATCTGTACAGTTTAAGAGAAATACACCCGACCTTTACATATATTTATTCAAACAATAACACAACTTGATAAACATAAGATATCTGATAAAAACACCATGCAATATACACTTTGTAAGCAATTTTCTCTCATTGTATTCATATTGCAATCTGCTTTTTAGATGAACAATGTCACAGCACGCT